CAGCCGCCCTGCCCTGCCCTCCCCCCCGAATCCATCTACTGCCTTGCCCCCCCCCACCTCGGCAGACAGGGACACAGCGCCCCAAGCTGAAGAAGCGTGAATGCAGCTCCTGGGTGAAGCAGATGTCTGCAGCCGTGGGAGTCCTGACAGGAGGTACAGAGTGAGGGGGGTCAGGACAGCTGGATCCAGCTCAAGTCTGGGGTGCCCCTGAAGCCCCTGCACAGCCCTCCACAACTCACCACCGCATCTTCGGCAGGTTCCAAACATGTCTCAGCTTCAAGACACCTGGATGGAAAAAGGAGGGGGATATGTGAGGGGGGAAGCCCCGCACAATTCCCTTCTGGGTTTTTGAGTTGGGTTTTTTTTCGGTTTTTTTTTCTTGGGGGGGGGCAATAGAACCCCAAGCTAGCCACTCTCCAACCCCACAGAAGGGGGCACCCCTTCTCCTCACTCCATCTGTGAGGAAGTAGCCCCCCCACACACCACCATCAGACCCCATGCCCTAGAAATGGGGGTAATGCTATGGGGTTTGGGGTGGGGAGCAGTAAGGAGTCAGCCCCCCTCCACAATGTCCCAGCTTCCAGCAGCTCTGTACCCAGGAGATGGGGGCGGGGGTCATTCCTATAGGGCTGGTGGTAAGAAATCAGCCCTCCATGACTTCCCAGCACCCCACAAACTCCATACCCCCAGAAACAGGGATGATACTATACAGCTAGTGGTGGGGAACAATGAGGAACCATCCCCCCACAAACACCTTGCCTCCCCCTCAGCCTCCTGGCCCTGTACCCGAGATGAGGGTCATTCCTATGGAGCTGGTAGGGAGGAATCAACCCCCTCTCCCCCCACAAGCCTCCAGCATCACCCACTAGCCCCATACCCCAGAGGTGGGGGTCATCCATGCAGGACTGGTGGTTGGAGATGGTGATAAGGGGAGTGTCTGGGCAACGCCGCTCAATCAGCTCATACAGAACCTCCTCATTGTGGACCTGCAGCCGGTTCATGCACCCTGCACAAATATGGGGG